TTCGTTTTTCTTGGTTGTGAGTGAATCTCTTAAGCACCATTCCTATGTAAACACTACTTTGACCCCATCAGTCCCATTTCTGTTGTTAATATTTGGAGCGCGAGATTGTGGGCTTATTTTCGGCTGGCGTTATGGCGGCGCTAGTGTCAAATGCACATTAGTTAGCAATTTCGTCATGCAAAAACTGGCGCACTGGCATTTTCCAGCCCTAACTCCTGGTTTGGCAATTTACCTGTCTATATCAGATCGCTTGCGCTCAGATAGGCCGGGTGTGAAATATTTGAGGTGTGTCCTTAAAAACATGATCCAAGTGATCATTTCAGGCAGCGCTATAGGAATATTTAAGACCAACCAAAAGCTGGTTTTAGCGGTAACGCTGTTGGTTATGGCATGCATTTTGACAGCAGAAATGCAGCGTATCTAGCCGTGACGCACATTCCCAGTGCACATGGAACAAGAGTAGCCTAATGTGCTTTTGGGCCCTTATACTTTTATTTAGAAAACATTCCCTTTTGAGCTATGCATTGTAGGCAGGCCCACATCATTTTTGCCATCCAGGTCCCGTTCTGGACGTGCGTACAAACCGCTCCATGATGTAGGCTACGTGTCCATGCCCATTATTGAACGAGAGATGAGACCTCAATGAATACCGTGAATCTCGTATTTAGAAATTATCTGTAACCTGTAAAAAGTGCTTGTTTTCCCTTTCTATGTTCAAAACCCAAGCCCTCCCTTAGGCTACTATAATGAAGGCTGGTTCACACAAGCCCTCCCTTAGGCCTACTATAATGAAGGCTGGTTCACAGCAACGTGTCTTTTTATCCTGGCAGTTTTATTATATCATGACATTTTTACATTTATTTATTGTTGTTAAAAATTAAATAAAGATTGCTTGTTTTTCGTTTAATTTGATTACAACCAAACTTATTAGAATGATTTACCGTCCTGGTTTTATAGTGACAATATCCGGGGTGAGCTTGCAATGCAACTTCTGGAGATGTGTGAATGCATCTGATCTGTAAAATGGTTCCGATTATGTTCCTAAAACATAGGCCTATTTGGGAGCAGTATAACAGTGAGTGGACATTCTCCCTTTCTATTTAAATTTGATCTTTGTCCAGCTACTGTGAAAAGTTTGGATTGCGTAAACCCTCCATAGTCTGCATGGTTTTAAATTATAATGCCCACAGGGAGAGATTATGGTGCCTGTAAGTGTGACATAGCCTATTTAAAACAAGTTGTTGTTTCGTTTTGTTAGAATTTGATTATAATTATTGTTCTCATTTTAGGCCTTATCAATAGTTAATTTAATATTGCTTATTGACAATGTTTGGCATGTCCATGCTCAGCCATAATGCAATTTACAGTAGGCCTAGCCCCTATATCAGTGTGAATGTTATTGAAGCCATGCAATCACTTTGAACAATGTGGACTGCAACAGGTTCAGTTAACATATTAGCAAAGATAGGTCTACATTTGTTATTTCGTTTCTGTAAGCCATTTGTCACGATCGTTGAACGAGTAGACCAAGGCGCAGCGTGATGAGCGAACATATTTTATTATCTTTAGTGATACACGAACAAACAAAACAATAAACGTGACGTCCTAGGTTAAACACACCCAACACGGAACAAACCAACGGAACAGATCCCCACACTATTGTGGAAAACAGCCTGTATAAATTGGCTCCATCAGAGACAACCAGCAACAGCTGACAACCGTTGCCTCTGATGGGAACCACTCTGGCAACATAGAAATAGAACACATAGAACTAAAACACAGAAACACAAACACATAGAATCTACACACACTGGCTCAACATATAGAGCCCCAGAGCCAGGGTGTGACACCATTTAACAACTATAACAGACTAACATTGGAATTGAGTTGATTCCAAGGCAATACTAAAAGACCATAAATACAAAACTTGAAGAAAACCACATATTTCGCCATGGAGCACGTTTGATTGGCCAGTGAGGGCCTCGACACACCCTCAACTTGCTTATTACCAAAAACTCAGCCCTTTCGCGCCAATGCCAGCAAGGGGCCCAATAATTGTCATAGTGAAATAGAAAAGAAATTTCTGACACAGCCTTGAACCTATAGCGGTACAGCCTGTGTTTAAATTTTACCATTGCGTTGTTTGTTAAAATAGAGCCCGAAGAGAGTGAAAGATTAAACGAGATGAGAGAAAAGGGAAAGTCAACATCTAATACAGAATAAATAGCTAATAAAATATCAAGTGGGCCCACAATGTGGGTTTTTTAGTTTAGTTTCTTGAAAAAATTAGCAAAGCAATCCCGCCAACATTTCCATTTATTTCTTAAATTTGATTTCAGAGTATATTAGGAGATCTGACCTCTTTAAGCAACTAAACACATAAATATTCTCAAAGCCTCTTTTCAGAGAAATCACACAGTATTTTGAGCCATGTGATGTTGCACTAGTGGTTGAGTGTGTGTGTGTGTTGTGTGTGTGTGTGTGTGTGTGGGGTGTGGGTGTTGTGTGTGTGTGTGTGTTTTGTGTGTGTGTGTGTGTTGTGTGTGTTTTGTTGTGGGCTGTGTCTGTGTAGTTTGTGTGGTGTGTGGTGTGTGTGGTGCAGAGGGGGCGTAGAGGGGGTTGTCTGGGAGATCAGGAGCCATCTGGTTCAGTTTTTTCCCCTTGTGGCTAAAACACTTTTTATAAACTGATTTATCTTGCCATATAATTACATAATTACTATTTAACACCGATTGGTTTATCCCTCGTCTCATCTTTCCCTTTCTCGTTCCTTTTCTATCTATCCCTCTTTTATGCATCTCTCTTCCCTCTCCCCTCTATATTTTTCTCCCCCCTTTCCCCCGTCTCTTTTCTCTATTTGTCCCATACTTCCTCTATCCGGGTACTCAAATCTTTTTGAAAAGGTCTCACACACATTCCTAGATGCAAGGCCCGGGATGGATTTGCATTTATCGCGTAGGAACCAAACCCCCCAACCGAAACCCATTTGACCAGAAATTTTAAAAAATGTTACACCCCTCTTTTTGGGGCAAAAAAACTTTTGCAGTTTTTAAAGCAAATTTCCTGAAATTCTATACTGAAAACACATTTAGCCAGGGGCGAGAGAAAATTTGCAGTTTTAAGCAAATTTCCCTCAATTCTACCTTTTTGGGCCATGCCTTATTTGTATTAGGGTCAGGGGTCTGGGCCCCAATGAGTTTTAAAAAAAAACATGACTAAACTACAAACATTTTGAGGCCCATACTGCTACAACCCCTCCTCTTCAGGACCCAGGGCCCTATTGACTCGTTCTGGGTCCCGATCCACCTGGGGTCCGCCTTTATTGGGGGGCATACTCTAATTTCGCCTCTTTCTCTGCACTCCTCCCCCCTCTCTCTCTCTCGCTCCCTCTCTTTTCTCGGGGCCCCTAAAACTCAGTGTGGGTTTCTGACTCTCGGGCCCCATCCCTGATGATTATTCCATATTCAACCCTGATTAGTGAATCATTTTAAATCTTAAATGTCCCCCGCAGGTCCCTTAGACCTCACTCCCCTCTCAAACCCCCCTTTTTCCATCCCTCCTCTCTCCTCTCCTTTTCCCTCCCCTCTCCCTCTTTCCTGTTTGATGGATCTTCAAGGGAGAGAAACAGGGGGAAGGAGATGAGGGGGATATAGAGAGAAGATGGAGGTGTACGGGTGCAGAGATACCAATATACACTAGGGTTATAGCTTTTTCAAATAAAAAAATGTTTGTTTGCTGATATGTGTGAGTAAGTTATTTACCATGATTTTATCACACTGGGCTATATTAAGTGGACCTGCTCTTTAAATAATGTAATGTCTAAGATCAGGATTACGGGTTATCACAATGTCTGTGTTGTAGAAATTATTCCCTCGATTCCGCCAATAATCTGCAATTATTCCTGTAAATTAACACACACAAACTCAAATCTCTGCTCAGCGTGTGTGCACTAGCGCATGTGTGTGTGTGTTTAATCCTGGATCCCCAAGTTCTGTCTCCTTACTGAAGATCAATGGATGTTCTCTAACAAAATATAACGCTCCATGACAGCCTTAAATCCTATCCACAGCCTACTAGTGTGTGTGTCCCTATATACCACCATGTACTCAATCGCAGCTTATAGCGGGAGCATAAATACACTCAAAGAAACAACAGCTCATGGTCTAATGAAAATACCCCCCCCTCCCCACCCCAA